TACTTCCCCCTTTTGTTAATTACAACTAAGAAGTAAGAATGGGAACGAGGTGGCCAGCTCTTGGGGAGACCGATTAAGGACACCACGCCAATTCCTCCCATCCGAGGTAGGTGACAGCAAATTGGGTGGGGATGGCTGCAGCGGGGGACAGAAAGTCAGTTTTTCGAGGGCTTGCTTTGAGCGGGGGCTGGGAGCCGAGGGGCCACTCTTGAGTTTGACATGTTTCTGGCAGATCTGCTCCGTCTCTCTAATCGCCCCTCCCCACCTCCTTCTCCAGATGGAAAGAGGCGCTCCTAGCTCACTTAAGCCGGGGTAGGGCTGGTTCTCCTTTCCGAGCCAAAATCCCAGGCGATGGTGAATTATGAACGTGCCACACCATGAAGCTCTTGTGGCAGGTAACTGTGCACCACACCTGGAATGCCGTCCTGCTCCCGGTTGTCTACCTCACAGCGCAAGTGTGGATTCTGTGTGCAGCCATCGCTGCTGCTGCCTCCGCTGGGCCCCAGAACTGCCCGTCTGTCTGCTCATGCAGTAACCAGTTCAGCAAGGTGGTGTGCACCCGCCGGGGTCTCTCCGAGGTCCCGCAGGGTATTCCCTCCAACACCCGGTACCTCAACCTCATGGAAAACAATATCCAGATGATCCAGGCGGACACTTTCCGACACCTCCACCACTTGGAGGTCCTGCAGCTGGGCAGGAACTCCATCCGGCAGATTGAGGTGGGGGCCTTCAATGGCCTAGCCAGCCTCAACACCCTAGAACTGTTCGACAACTGGCTGACAGTCATCCCCAGTGGGGCCTTTGAGTACCTGTCCAAGCTGCGGGAGCTCTGGCTGCGAAACAACCCCATAGAAAGCATCCCCTCTTATGCCTTCAACCGGGTGCCCTCCCTCATGCGCCTGGACTTGGGGGAGCTCAAGAAGCTGGAGTACATCTCTGAGGGGGCTTTTGAGGGGCTGTTCAACCTCAAGTACCTGAACTTGGGCATGTGTAATATTAAAGATATGCCCAATCTCACCCCACTGGTGGGACTGGAGGAGCTGGAGATGTCAGGGAACCACTTCCCTGAGATCAGGCCTGGCTCCTTCCATGGCCTAAGCTCCCTCAAAAAGCTATGGGTCATGAACTCACAGGTCAGCTTGATTGAGCGGAATGCTTTTGATGGGCTGGCTTCACTTGTGGAACTCAACTTGGCCCACAATAACCTCTCTTCTTTGCCCCATGACCTCTTCACTCCATTGAGGTATCTGGTGGAGTTGCATCTACACCACAATCCTTGGAACTGTGATTGTGACATTTTGTGGCTAGCCTGGTGGCTTCGGGAGTATATACCCACCAATTCCACCTGCTGTGGCCGCTGTCACGCTCCCCTGCACATGCGAGGCCGCTACCTGGTGGAGGTGGACCAGGCCTCCTTCCAGTGCTCTGCCCCCTTCATCATGGATGCACCTCGAGACCTCAATATCTCTGAAGGTCGGATGGCGGAACTTAAGTGTCGGACTCCCCCTATGTCATCTGTGAAGTGGGTGCTGCCCAATGGAACAGTGCTTAGCCACGCCTCCCGCCACCCCCGGATCTCTGTCCTCAATGATGGCACCTTGAACTTTTCCCACGTGCTGCTCTCGGATACTGGGGTATACACATGCATGGTGACCAATGTGGCAGGCAACTCCAATGCCTCGGCCTACCTCAATGTGAGCACGGCCGAGCTCAACACCTCCAACTATAGCTTCTTTACCACAGTCACAGTGGAGACCACTGAGATCTCGCCTGAGGATACAACACGCAAATACAAGCTTGTTCCTACCACGTCCACTGGTTACCAGCCGGCATATACCACCTCTACCACGGTGCTCATTCAGACCACCCGTGTGCCCAAGCAGGTGGCAGTACCCGCGACAGACACCAATGACAAGATGCAGACCAGCCTGGATGAAGTCATGAAGACCACCAAGATCATCATTGGCTGCTTTGTGGCAGTGACTCTGCTAGCTGCCGCCATGTTGATTGTCTTCTATAAACTTCGTAAGCGGCACCAGCAGAGGAGTACAGTCACAGCCGCCCGAACAGTTGAGATTATACAAGTGGATGAAGACATCCCAGCAGCGGCATCCTCCGCAGCAACAGCAGCTCCAGCCGGTGTATCAGGTGAGGGGGCAGTAGTGCTGCCCACAATTCATGACCATATTAACTACAACACCTACAAACCAGCACATGGGGCCCACTGGACAGAAAACAGCCTGGGGAACTCTCTGCACCCCACAGTCACCACTATCTCTGAACCTTACATAATTCAGACCCATACCAAGGACAAGGTACAGGAAACTCAAATATGATTTCCCCCTCCCCTCCAAAACTTATAAAATGCAATAGAATGCACAAAAAAAAAAAAAAAAAAAAAAAAAAAA